GGGGGGGGGGGGGAACAGGAGTGCAGGAACAATTTTTCTAGTGTTTCCCCTGTTTTTGGGGTATACTACAAAACACAGAAAAACTCCCCACCCTCAAGAAGGGATTACTGTAAAGCTAGAAAGAGTGGAGGCTCTGGAGTGGATGCACTACCTAAAATGATCACTTGTTTTCAGTTAAAAAAAATACACATGAAATAAGAAAGATGTTATGCCACTAAAAAATTTAGTCACACCCACAGCACAGGTAGTGCTCAAAATCCTTTGAAGGGAACTTCCAAAACATGATCAAACAGAGGGTAAAACTTCCAGAGCAAAAATTGTTCTTTAGCACTAGCAACATTTTAAAATGCTGGGGAGGTGGGAAGAGGGGGTACACACAGGACACAGCCAGGAAGGATTCCCAGTGGCTACCACCGGTGCATAACGTTCAGCATCTCTGAAAATCACGACCTAAACAAAACCAGCTTTGGGATACAACCGTCCAAAAGGCACACCCCACACGTAGGAGTCAGAGGGCTTCAGATTATCCCTTCAGACACATCCTCACCATTTTTCACAGAGAACATTTAGTCATTTATTTAGGTTCCTAGGCACGCGGTCAAATACTGTGACCCCCTCCTTCCAGCCATTTATGAAAGAAATCCCAAAGCAACATATGCTCTTGTGTTGAGAACAACACAACCGAAGCCAAGAGAATTAGTTTGCAGCCCTATCATTTAACGGCTACTGTTTGGTCCCTTGATTGCCCTAGGTTTTGTTCGATTCATTTTTCCCTGATTAGCCCACATGGGACACAGGAGAAGTTTGACATGCTGTAATACCAAGCCTTGGTTGCCAGAGTTGGGCCTGAATTTAAGGAGTCTGTGCTTTAGGTCTGGGTGGACATACAGGGCTATTCTTTCCTCACTCTTACCTTGCAAATCATGAGTGGAGGGGAACTGTACTTCTAACACACCTTGCATCCAATAAGCTCAAGTACTTTGCAAACTAGAAATTAAACCTCCATCTCCCTGCCTGACACTAATCCCATCCTGCAGATGGGGAGGCTGAGGTACTGAGAGGCGAGTGACTTGCCTAAGGTCACAGGGTGTCTGCAGCAAAGCCAGGAAGAGAAGCTACTTTTTACTTTGTTCTGTACATTGGTCAAAAATGCACATCCTTCATAACTGGGCTTTGTATTGTTCACCAAGGGCCTCTGGACAGTCTTTCTTCACCCACAGTTTCTGGTGAAGTCCAATGGAGTTTGGACTGGAGACAGGTGTTCAGAGGACTGCGACTCTTATAAAAGTATCCTGTAAAACCAAGCTGATGTTATAGACTATTCTTAGCATGATAAGCAGAAGAGAAAAGTCACCTGGTTGCATGGAAAGCCCCTAGTTTGCATTAAAAAGAAATGGAAGTAGAGTCAGTAGTCCTTTGACACGCTATACACATTTGCAGAGAGTAGTTGCTACCTGCCTACCCCACTCTCTCCAGGGATAAGGAAGAAAAATGAAACAAAATACAACAAAAATTAAAAATAGCTTCCCTTTGCCCAGCAGTCTGAGCAGCTTAACTGGCTAGCAAAGAGCATTCCTGTTGAGAGAACTCACAGCTGGCTAAGACAGCTGGGGAACGACCATCGTGTGCATGTGTAGGTGTGCAGAAAACACCGCCCCTAGCCTGAGAGACCTGTTTGTAGACAGACGTCAGGTACCCAAATCTGGCTGCTCCCTTCCATCCAATCCCAGACAGGGGTGCACGTACCCAGAGGACTCTCAAGTACTTCAGAAACTGGGCGGACCGAGTTCAGTTGGTCACAAGGAACCTGCCTGTCGGATTACCATTTCTATTAGCCTTGCTCCATCTCTGCTGTCACACAAGAGCTCTACTGGACGGCTTGCCCTGAAGCTCCAGTACCTTCACAAGCCGATACCTGGGGCAGGTTTAGAGAGAAAGGGGAGCACAAGAGGTTGCCTTCATTTGCCCCATTCACCACGGAGAAGCCAGGTCTGGGGCCACTGCCACACTCAAGGCTGGACAAGCAACATTGTGGGAGATGCTGTCCCTGGGTCCTGCTGAATATACATCTGTGTGTATTGTACTCCTTTATGTATACAGTGTCATTAGACTTGTACTTTTAAAAAATAAGATCAAGCCAGGCCTGACCCAGGCTCTGCAGATAAAGTAGTAGCTTATTTCTTATAAATATTTTTTAATATTTTTTTCTTTTTAATTACAAGTAGTCCTCACTCCAGGTAATGTAAGTGACACGAAGTACCTGCACACACACACAGCCCCTGGACTTTCACAGAAAGCCCAGCAGCAACCGCTCAATAAGAAAGGAGTCCTACCTCACAGCAAAGTAGGGGGCATATGGCCAAGTTAGCCTAAATTGAGGGGAGGCAGGGGAGAAGTGGGGGGTGGAAAAAAAAAGAAGAGTCACTTGGAGTAAATACAATAAAAAGGGGTTTCAAAAACCCTTCGTATAAAGGATCAAGGAGGTTAAAGCAAAAGCTGGTTCAAAAAAGATGTACAAAACTGTTGGAAACCAACAGAAAACTCTGTCAAAAATAACTTGCATTTAAATCAGAAATCAATGGCATCACACAATTTTGTTGGTAAAGAACAGGGAAGGGGACACCGGGGGAGATCACCATTGAGGGGAAGAGTTCTCATTAGCTCCAGAGCCCAGCATAATTCCCATGGAGTCCTGATGGAAGGGGGCCTCCTGCCACAAAAAGTTTCGTTCCAGACGAGTCGTAGCAGTGGGTGTAAACAGCATTTGGGAAGTTATTAATGTCAGAGAAATAATTCCTCCAGGTTTCATCATGATTCTGTTGAAGGAAAGTTCACATCAGTATTGCTGCAAGCAAGCCAAAAGACAGACCTGATTTCAGAAAAGCAAGATGTGGCCTCATAATCCAAGAGGGGGCTGTTCTGCACCAACAGTCCAAGGTTTATAGGCTAGAACAGCGGTTCTCCATTTAGACTCAAGGCAGCTTGCAAAAGGCTCGGAAAAAGTTTGCTTTGTTATTCTGGTTTTGACTACAGAAAAATACGAGAGCAATTCTTCTGCTGCAAAGAACTGAAAGTCCACAACAGGTCAGAACATTTTAAAATGCTCTGGATTAATATTTGAAACCTCCGAGTCTACCCTGGGAATTGTGTTTTCCCACCTCAGCACCAATATCAAGTGGCATCTTGCGGCACCCCTGAAAGGTGCTCAAGGCACCCCAGGTTGCTGCAGCATCCTGCTTGAGAATCAACTGGGCTAGAATTTGGAATGGCCAAGGGCATCTTGACAGCCTGATGGCCCAAATGTCCTCAGAAGTGAGACACAGGGGACAAAGTTCGAAAGCTCCTTTGTGCAACTCAGCTACTAGAACAGCAGAGAGAATAAGATGCTCACTGAACCTACTACCTGCACAGAATTGTTCTGGTCATCTATAGGAACCCCAACCAAAGACAAGAGCCCTGCCCACCCACACCAAGCACTGCACAAACAGTGACGGTTCCTGCCTCTGCACAGGTCTGAAAAGGAAGCAGCCATATTTCATGGATATTAGGGCTGGAAGGGACCATGCTGTTCCCTTGACTCTATTGCTGCCATCCAAATTTGTCGCATTAGATTGGGGCTGGGGACTGGAATCAATGGTATTTGAAAACACTGTAATATATAGTATTTTTAATTACAAAAAATTAAGCTGGATTACCATTCAAGAGGCATCAAGCTAAGAGCTGAAAAAAGAGAATATTGAAACAAGTCCATGCAAAAGCTGCTGCACTGGAAAGCCAGTCTGTTTATATTTGACACTGGCCAAGTGAGTTATTCTCTAGCTGCATCCTACTCTTGCAGGCGTGTGGGGTTTTTCTGAAAAGATAGTGAAGAGCTCTCTACAGGGCTCAAAGCCTGAATGTATTTCAGTTACCAGCTCAGTGTTTTAAGGGAGCTCATTTGATATGTTTACTTCCCAAAACTGTACAACCAACTTGGCTTCAAGACCTACATATTAAAAGCTTCTGTGGTTGTGAACTACTCACCAGCCAACCTTTCCCCGTAGTCAACTTCAGGATTTCGTTTCCTCCTAGCTTCTGTTTCTGTCCACAGCAGGCAGGAGGCGGCTTTTCATCCAGGAACCTCTGGGCTCTGATGTCATAAAACAGCAAGGACCCCTGCCCCGTTCCCACAGTTATGATGTGCTCATAGAAGCTCACGGACCGGATACCTGTCAGTCGGAGGGAGAGGAGAGTTACCAACTGCTGTAAAGAGAATTGAATGTTTTAGCTTTGCAGAGCTGGTTATCTCTGTCCAAGGTTTTCTCCTCTGCGTTATTAGTTTCCTTTTCACTGCAAAACAGTGGAGGTTAAGTCCCATTTCTGTTACTGAAATGGTAGCTGCTATTACATGTTGTCCTTCCTGCCCCCCACAAGCTCCCACCACCACTGTTCCTATCCCAACAACACACGCTGGAGCACCTCTCCCAGACCACATCTTGTACCAGTCACTGTGCAAACCGAACAAAGGTGCTCCCTGTCCCAGGTCATGTGCAGCCTCCAAGAGCCATCCAGTGGGGTATAGGACTTCTCATCAGACTCAGGTACAGGCTGTTCTCTTGATTTAATATTAAGGATTAATCTTAAAGTACAGGACAAAGACAATAACTGACACAATCTCACTGGTGTCAGCTGGATCAAGATCACGCCCAAGGAAGGGCAGCCTGGGGGCCAACTGGCTCGGCAGCAGCTCTACAGAAAAGGACCTGGGGGGACAGGGGACAAGCAGTTGAACAGGAGCCAGCAGTGTGCCCTTGATGCCAAGAAGGCTACTGGCATCCTGGGCTGCATTGGTAGGAGTGTTGCCAGTAGGTCAAGGGCTGTCATTCTTCCCCTCTCTTCAGCACTGGGGAGGGCACATCTGGAGTCCTGTGTCCAGCTGTGGGCCCCACACTACAGAAAGGATGTGCACACATTGGAGAGTCCAGCGGAGGGCAACCAAAATGGTGAGTGGGCTGGGGCACATGACTGGTGAGGAAAGACTGAAGGAACTGGGCTTATTTAAATCTACAGAAGAGGAGACTTAATAGCAGCCTTCAACTCCCTGCAGGAGGGTTGCAAAGGGGATGGCGCTGGGCTGTCCTCGGTGGGGCAGATGACAGGACAAGGGGCAATGGGCTCACACTGCAACAAAGGAAGCTGAGGTTGGATATTAGGAAGAATTTTCTCACAAGGAGTGTAGTAAAACACTGGACCAGGCTCCCCAGAGAGGTGGTGGACTCTCCATCCTTGGAGGTGTTGAAGACCCGATTAGACAAAGCCTTGGCTGAGATGATGTAGTTGGGGCTAGTCCTGCTTAGAGCACGGGGTTGGACTAGAGGTGACCTCCTGAGCTCCTTTCCCACCCAAATTTTCTATAGTTCTCCGAGTCTCTGAAGGCTAAATTATGCATGGACATACAGAGCGCTACTCATCTGGGAATGCTGGAAGATCCAGGTCCTAAATCGCTTTGGGTTACTTATGTTTAAAGTTTCAATCGAAACAGAACATTTTAGCTAAACTCCCACTGTACAAAATTATATTGTGAAGATTTATTTCAAACTTTATTAAAAAAAAGAAATTTGGATGCTAGAGTCTCTAAAGTGGATCTATTTGAAGGAGAGACTTTGTCCATGCCAAAGTACATAACATTATAGTTTCATAGTTTCTAGGGTTGGAAAGGACCCGAGTAGATCATCTAGTCCGACCCCCTGCCATGGCAGGAAAGAGTACTGTGGTGAAATGACCCCAGCAAGGTGTTCATCTAACCTCCTCTTAAAGCCCCCCAGGGCAGGAGCCAGCACCACTTCTCTTGGAAGTTGGTTCCAGATCCTAGCCGCCCTGACCGTGAAGTCGCGCCTCCTGATATCTAGCCTAAATCTACACTCTGCCAGCTTGTGACCATTATTCCTGGTCACTCCTGGTCGTGCTCGGGGGAACAGGGACTTCCCCAATGCCTGCTGATCCCCCCTGACTAGTTTATAACAGGCCACAAGATCCCCCCTCAGCCTTCTCTTTTGGAGGCTGAACAGGTTCA